AAAGGACTGAATAAATACTATACTAGACAATATGAAAACTGGGAAAAGTATTAATGTGGGAATGACCAGAAAGCTTGTAAGGGCCTATGATCCTAGCACTCAAGAGGCTGAGGCAGGAGGATTGCCACGAGTTTGAGACCAGCCTGGGCTACATAATGAGACCCTGTCTCAAAAATTAAAAAAATAAAAAGTTTGTGAGGGAAATGTGAAAGAAGCAGTGCTTTGAAGTAGGACTTGGATGTGATTAATAGAAAGCACTGGAGTGCAAAACGATGAGGTCCAAACTGTATGGAGGTGGAATGGACAATATTTATTGTAAGGAGGATAAGACCAGCTGAATTAGGCTCAAAGTGGGGAAAATAAGGCTGCACTGTAACAAGAACCCTAAGTACAAGCTTTGGACCTTGAGTCTTACTTTCTAAACTTGAGTAATCACATAATGAATTTCCTTTTTTGATAGCACTGGAAATTGAACCCAGACCCTTGCACAAGGTAGGCAAGCATTTTACCATTGAGTTTTACCCCCAATACTTTATATTTTTTATGTTGAGACAGGATCTTGGTAAATTGCCCAAGTTAGCTGGAACTTGCCATCTTCCCGCCTCAGCCTCCTATTTAACTAAAACTAGAGGTGTGCACCACCATAACCAGTGTCTGAGAAATTTTTAGTTTTTGGGTTTTTGTTGTTGTTGTTGTTTTTGGTACTGGGGATTGAACTCTGGTCCTTGCACTTGCAAGGCAGGTGTCAGAACCACTGAGCTAATCCCCAGTCCAAAACTACTATCTTTTATGGCTTTTTTTTTTTTTTTGTATTGGGGATTGAACTAGGGTCCTTGTGCTTGTGAGGCAGGTGGTGGAACCACTGAGCTAAATCCCTGGCCATTTCAGAAAGATTTTAAACAAGAAAGTTATCTTGGGAATGGAAAGAGAATATGTAGATGTATCAAATCCCCAAGATGAATGTAAATATTGTGCATTGGATACATGTCCTAATAAAAATAAAATACAATCACTGTGATGTTTTGGGGGTCTTTGAATCGGTACACAGAATGGTCTGGGGGTGATGAGGTGGATGACAGTAAGAACATCTGGCATCTTAGTTACTTTTCTCCTTGATGAGACAAAATACCCGATACCCCCAAGGGAGGAAAGGTTTATTTAGCTCACAGTTTATGAAGGTTTCAGTCCATCATTGGCTGACCCCAAGGCAGGGTAGCCTGGCAAAAGGAATCGCAGAGGAGAAACAGTTCATGGTGGGCAGAAGGTAGCAGAGCAAGCCAAGGACAAAACAAACCTCTTTCTGTCCCTCATATTATATTCAGGTTACCGGGACGCAGGTGGTGCCAAGCCCATCAATGTATTCATTTAGAATCACACAGTCTTAATCCCAGCACCACACACTCTAGATTAACTCTGAAAAAGCCCCAATTATGACTGCATGAGGCTCTGGGGGGACATCTAGAGCCGACCATAACATTTAGAAAGCTGCTGAAAAATAAACCAGAACTCAAGGTAATTACTGTGTGGAAGAGCTCCAGAGAACAGCTTGCATGCTCCTGAGCACAAAATAGACCATCCTGTTCCATGTGTGGTGGGATTTGCATAGTGAAATGCAGCCTTGTCTGGAGAGATTACTCCCAAAGGCATTAATTTTATACACACACACACACACACACACACACACACACACGTGTGTGTCAATTATCATATAAGGTTAACTTAAAAATACTCCCCTTCCTGCCGGGTGTGGTGGTGCATTCCTGTAATGCCAGCACTTTGGAAAGCTGAGGCAGGAGGATCTTCATGAGTTTGAGGATACCCTGGGCTACACAACCTCATCTGAGAAAACCACACCAAAAACAACTAACCAAACAAAAAATTCTTCTATGTTTTCTGTACACTTAAAGAATAGGATTTTAACCCAGAGTCTTTGCTCTGAGGTACATCCCCAGCTATTTTTTATTTCTTTATTTGAGACAAGGACTCACTAAACTGCCAAAGTTGGCCTCAAATTCTCCATCCCTTGCCTCAGCCTCCCAGCTACTGGGATTACAGGCAGGCACCACGATGCCCAGCTAAAAAATTACTTCATTTTGAAAAATATCTAGGTCACTACTTTAAAACTTCCTCAAGTTTCCTATGTGGGGTAAAAATGCTTTATACAATACTATTTTTTCTACACATACCTGCCTAGGCTAATGTTTAATTTATAAATTAGGTATATCAAGAGACTGATACCAACAATAAGAGATCAAAAACAATATACAATTGCCAACATTAATTATTACTTTTGCACCTTGGAGAACATTATTAGGGGAAGCACTGAGCTACCTGAGTGCAAGCACTGTGATATGATGATAGTGGGTCTGGTATCCAGATAATTCCTGCATGATTAGTGGCGGCAGCATGTATAATGTGATACACTGGACAAGGGGACGCTTCTCACCCGAGGTGGGAAGGAACAGGATGACGAGATTTCATCACACTGCTCAGAATGATGCACAACGTAAAATTTATGACTTTAGCTCTGGAACTTCCTGTTTAAAATGTTCAGACTGGAATTGACTGTAGAGAACTGAACTGTGGTGGCGAGATGCCTGTATTGTGCTACGGTTGGTGTCACAAACCTTCTGACTTAGATTATCATTTTAAGGTCTAATACATGAAATTCTTTCAATTAAAGATGTATTTAAAGTAAGCATAAGACCACAGTAATAAAATATCTTTACTAGAAATGAAGATTCTGAACCAATCTGGAGCTGTGATCTTACTTCTGAGAGTATCCTGTGAATGCACTTTAGTCTTTCCTTGGTGGGCAGCAGCAACGTACATCTTTTAAATAGCACACCTGAAAAAGAGACAAGGAAGAAAAGGCTGCAATTCACGTGAGCATTACCCGCAGCACGGAATGACATTTCCATGGTGCACTATGACAGTCTTTGTTTTGGGGGTCTCCCTGTCCTGTCCTGGGGATTGAACCCAGAGCCTGTGAACTGAGCTATATTCCTAGTCCTTTTTTAATTTTTAAAATTCGGATACAGGTCTCTCAAAGAGGCTAAATTGCCCAGGTGGGCTTGAACTGGGAATCCTCCTGGCTCAGCCTCCTAAGAAGCTGGGATTACAGGTTTACCACCTCGCCCGAGTATGATACAGGTTCTTTTCTTTTTTTTTCGGTCTTCTGAGACAAGTTCTCCCTATGTAGTTCAGGTAGCCTAGGCTGGCCTCAAACTCATGGCAATCCTGCCTCAGCCTCCCAAATGCCATGATCTCAGGCATGTGCCCTCATACCTAGTTATGATGATACAGCTTTTAGAGGAACTTTTGGGAGAAAGAGTACAAAACACGTAAACTATATGGCACATGTTCATCTAAGAGAGTTTGGCACATCTTGTAAAAACGTTGTGAAAGTCATACTGTAGGACACACATGGAAAATATTTAAATTTTAAAAGATACAATAGTAAGACATAAGATATGTTAGGGAAAAACATCTTTATTCCATAGGAAAATGATATGAGTATCTTTTGAAATTAACCTCATGTCTAAAAAGGAAAATATTTTATGTATTGTTAATGTACAATATGAAAGAATGGGAAAGAAGCCAGGGGGTGGTAGTGCACTCCTGTAACCCCAGCCAGCCCTCAGGAGGCTGAGGCAGGAGGATCAATACAAGTTCGAGGTCAGTCTGGGATATGTAGTTAGTTTTAGACTAGCCTGAACCACAGCATGAGACCTTGTCTCAAAAGACAAAAAATTAAAAAAAAAGGAAAGGAGATTTTTGTATGCCTTTTTCCAAATACAAAAATTTAAAGTCATCAGTACTTAAACTTTCAGAGGTTAAGTGAGTTTTGTTAACCAAAAGTATTGAATTTGGGTTCAATCTCTCTCTTCCTTAAAAAAAATCCTTTTATAGAATTTGCGTGTTAAGAATGTGTAGGATTTTGCAATCAGATGTTTCAAAAGGAAACAAACCTTCAATTTCTCAAAGATATGCTTAAACTATAGCAACAGGAAATGTATTTATTTTCCCTAATTATACTGTTTTCCTAAAATGGCAACATACTGTTAATATTCCTATAAAGATGAATGTTCTTGAACTGTAAATAAGATACAGAGTAGCAAAATACATACCAGAACATCATGACTTTCTTTCAGTTTTTATCTTTTCTGCATTTACTTTTTTATATAATAATTACATAATTCTGAAAAATCCATAGGAATCTAATTTATTTTTGGAAGTTGCTATGTTTGGGTGACATATGACTAGAGTTGATCTTAAAACATAATCCCTCTTCATTTTTGTGTATAAAAAGACATTTTCAGTGTTTGGTTTTTAAATTGAGTTATTTTCCTTTCACACTTTGGTACCCAGTCTCCCCACCCATCATAGCTGGGGGATCATAAGCTATAACTGCATGTTGGTGGCCTTCTCTAATGTAAAAATCATACTTGCAAAGGTTATAATTTACCATAGAGCCTAAATATTAGTTTTAAATTTTTATTTTTTAAAAAACGCAAGTGCTCTGCTAAAGCCTTTAGAGTCCGCCTTCTTTCATTTCTTTCCAATACAATGGAGTCACATTCAGTGTTCTTTCCAACTGGCCATCTGCTCTGTTTTATATGAAAATGTAAATTGAGATACATAATCTTTGAAATGGAAGTCTCTGGAAATGTTATTTTAATGTCTAAAAAGAAGAACAGATCAGATAGGAATGACAAGAGAAAATGGTAAGACCTTCCAACATTTACCTGAAGCATCAGTTACAAACTGGGTGTCTACTTTAACATTAAATGGAAGGTTGAAATTATATGAATAAAACCTTTTCTTTTTGGTACCAGGGTTTGAACTCAGAACTTTGCACTTGTGAGGCAGGAGGCATGTGCAGTACCACTGGGCTAAATCCCCAGCCCTAAAACCATTTTTTAAAAGCCAACCGTTGCCAAGCATGGTGGCACAAGTCTATAATTTCAGCACCTGAGAGGCTGAGGCAGGAAAATCCCTACAAGTTCAAGCTCAGCTTGGGCTACATAGTGAGTTCAAGACCAGCCTGAACTATAATGTCTCAAAAAGCCAAAACAGAGCCAGGCATGGTGGCACACACCTGTAATTCCAGCATTTGGGAACAATGTGAGTTTGAGGCCAGCCTCGGCTGCAGCAGCCTGAACTGCATAGTGAGACTGTGTCTCAAAAACCAAAACAGCTATAATGACATAAAAATCTAGCCAATAAGATCACTATATACTTAAAAGTTTTAATTGAGTTATTCATTTGTGTGTGTGTGTGTGTGTGTGTGTGTGTGTGTGTGTGTGTGTGTGTGTATTGCTGAGGATGGAAGCCAGGGCCCTGTGCATGCCAGGCAAGCACTCTGCCATTGACCTACATCCCAGGCCCATATAATTTGTCTTAATGCTTTGTTTGTTTAAGCAACTGAGACTTGGTCAGGAAAAAAGAAATTCTTTCAGACTTAAACCAAAGGACAAAGTATATGACTCAACTAATGAAGTTTTTAAAAAGATATTTATAGTGAGATATAGCAAAAAAATTGCTAAATTTGGTAATAAGCTTTACTAAATCTAGTTATAAATACTGAAGCCAACAATATTGTATTCAGATTATATACCTTTCATTTGGTCTTTTATTTTTTTTTTGGTATCAGGCATTGAACTCGGGACCTTGAGCTTGCAAGGCAGGCAGGTGGAACCACTGATAAATCTCTGGCCCTCATTTGGTCTTATTAAATATACTTTAATTGGGCTGGGGATATAGCTCAGCGGTTCAGTGGCCTGCCTCGCAAGCGCAAACACCCGAGTTCAATCCCTGGTACCAAAAAAATATAGATAGATAGATAGATATACTTTAATTATTTACATTTTTAGATTTATTATTGAAGGTAGACATTCTTGGGCTATGAAAAGACAATATTCACTTAACTTCCTGTGCCTTTATTTAAATTGCAACATACTTTTTTATTTGTTTCTTTTTTTGTTCTTTTTTTTTTTTTGGTTTTTTGAGACAGGGTCTCATTATGTAGTTGAGACTGACCTGGAACTCACTGTGTAGCCCAGGCTGGTCTCAAACTCACGGTGATCCTCCTGTCTCAGCCTTCTAGAGTGCTGGGATTACAGGGGTGCGCCATCGCGACTGACACTTTTTCGTTCCTTTGACAGGGTCTTGCTGTGCATCTGCAGTTCAGGCTAGCCTTGAACTCAGTATACCCAGGCTAGCCTCAAACTTGCAGCACTCCTCCTGCCTCAACCTCCCGAGTGCTAGGATTATAGGTGTACACCAACATGCCCAGCAAATTGCAACATAATCTTGATATTTGGTTTTACTGCATGCTTTGGTTAATTATAAAGTAAGGTCATAGTTAAATTGGTGCTAAGCTGGGGATTTAGCTCGGTGGCACTGTGCCTACCTTGCAAATGCAAGGTGCTGAGTTTGATCCCTGATACAAAAAAAAAAAAAAATTGGTGTCATCAATCAAGCTTAGAGTTTTATTCAGCACTATGAGGAGAATGAAATCAATGAATGGGGGTGAAAGATATAAATTACTACATATCAAGGGAAGAAAGATTACACAGAATTTCCTTTGATAAAGTCAATTTAAGTATATCGTAGTGATTTATTAGTTTTTTATTTTTTGTTTTTTTCGTTTGAGACAGGGTCTCACTAAGTAGTTGAGACTGACCTGGAACTCACTATGTAGCCCAGGGTGGTCTTGAACTCACAGGTGTGCACCACCACGCCCAGCTATAGTGATTTATTAGTAAATGTGTAGTGTATACTCTGATAAGAGAATAAATGATCCTCTGCAATCTGCAATAATGTATTTAAACTTATTTTCTTATTTTAAGGACTAGATCATGTTTGAAAGGGAAAAGTGACATAGAAAACTCATATCCACAGGATGTAAAGCATACAAAACACAATTTCCTAAACTAGTAAATTATCTATACAATAAGTATAGGCAATATTGTATGCACATGAAATCACAAAAGACTGACATTTGACATTAAAGTGCATTTAATTATCTTTAAAGATAGGCAGAGCAGTGCATGGCTGTGATCCCAGCACTCAGGAGGCTGAGGCAGGAAAATCACCATATATTCAAGGCCACCCTGGACTACATAGTGAACCTGTATTTAAAAAAAAAAAAAAAAAAAAAAAAGTTTAAAGGGCAGTTGTTAAGGGAACATCCTCACATGTAAGAGCAAAAACAGGGCTGGGGATTTAGCTCAGTGTTGCCACCGCCTGCCTTGCAAGTGCAAGGACCTGAGTTTGATCCCTGGTGACCCCGCCAAAAGAGCAAAAACATCAGAAATTGGCACATTTTAGGAATACTCTATATCCTACTGGCTTTAAAGAATTGTTTGATAAAATCCTTTAATTTACTTAATTCTTTCTTTGATGTAATTCATAAATTACCTAGAGACCTGTAGTACTCCAGAAGAGTGAAGTCTTGTCTCTTGTCAGGCAGCTCAAGGTTATGAAAGTCCTGTAGTAAAAGTCTCTTGCTTCCTGCGGAGGTTGCGATGTAATTGATAACAAGCCGGCTAACTGGTTTGGACACCAGGCTTAGCATGCTGACATCTCTCACTACCAAAAGAAATACATATGTGCATGCATGAAGAGCTTAGACGCAAGAACGTTACTATGAGTATAGTCTGTTAACTTGTAAGCTAATTCATTAATAATCATAATTATCTGCATCCTAGTGGGAAAAAAATCTCAAATTTGTTTTAAATCCGGGACTCAATGGTTAGAACTATCTTGGAATAAAACAATCAAGTTACCACATCATTAGAGAGTAATGCTTGGTTTGAGTATGCTGCTTTCTCACTGTACAATGTACAATGTAACAATGAGGAAACTTTTCAAAATGAACTTCACATGAATGCTATTAACATTTTAGCAGAATGTAAAATGACAAATTACTTCTTGGAAAAAATTTAAACATGCTAGTGTTGTATGTGGCCCGCTCACTGTCCCTAAACCTCACCTGACAAATAGTTTAAGATTATTTGGAATACTTCCAGTGGCAAGGCTTTAAAATTTCCAAGAGTTGATAAATGCTGAGAATCTGAATCTTGTTGGCTCGAAAAATAGCTGGATTGACGGTTACTACGTCTGTATTTCTGTTTGGGAATCCTTGTAAAACTGGCATTTATTCTAGATGCCATCTTTTTTTTTCTAATCTCATGAATTTATCCTGGATAGAAAAACAAAGTACAAGAGATAAAGAAGAAAGGAAATTAATGCAATGAAGAGCTGCTGTTTTTGTACTGCTCAAGATGGACCCCAGGGCCTCCTGTGTCCTAGCCTGGAGCTCTACCACCAAGCACCATCCCCCAGCTCTGTTTATTTTGTTTGTTTTTGTTTTATTTATTTATTTTTTGGTACCGGGGATGGAACTCATATCCTCCTGTTTGCAAGGCACTGGGCGGAACCGCTGAGCTAAATCCCTGGCCCTGTTTTTGTTTTAAATGAAGGGGTCCACACACTGATGGCAACAGTTGTCTCTTCACATTTACAAAAGTTTTACTGTGATGTGCAATTTATGGGGGTCTCACCATTACTATATATATTCAATTCAGCATCATTTGAAAACTTTTAAATTTCTTCACCTCTTGACCATGTATTCTATATAAAGAGTTTTGCTAGGAAATGAGATATGTATTTCAATGATAAATAGCCCTCCAAAAATAAAAATAAAAACAGGAGAAGAATAAAAGACTTAATATGGCTTAATTTGTGGACAAAGATCTTACGGACAGGTGCAAAATAAATACCTTCTTTCGTAACCTGAATTTGACACATAAAAGAAGGAGTATTACAAAAAAAACCTTAAAAAATCAATATGACTTAAAATACAGTCAATCTCTATCACAGCTGGGATATGGCAACGTAGTAGAGCACTTGCCCAGTTTTGTGAGGCTCAGGGTTCAATCCCTACAACACAAAAACAAAACAAACAAAAACTAATTACCAAAAACCCACAATATCCATCACAATTAGTATGTTCTCTTTGCAACCATTATATTCTAAATTATCAAAAAATTAGTATAGTTTTACTTTTTTTTTCTACCAGGGATCGAACTCAGGTCCTTGCGCTTAGCAAGGCAGACAGAAGAACCACTGAGCCAAATCCCCAGCCCTATAGCTTTAAAATTTTGTAGCACTATTCTTACATTTCATTAAAATTGGGTACTGACCTTTGTTCTTTTGATAGAAAGAATAACAAAAAATAAAGACTAGTTTAGAACTATTTAAATGTACTAGCTCTAACAGATTAAATAGTTAGCATTGTTGTTACCAATTATGTGCTGTGCAATACACAAATAAGCAGAAAAATTAAAGTTTTGCAGCACACACCTGTAATCCCAGCACTTGGCAGGCTGGGGCAGGAGGACAGCCTCAGCTACTTAGTGAGATCCTGTTTCAAAAAATAAAAAAAAGCTTAAAGTTGTATAAAATTAATAAGGCTAATTCCCTCAGGTTTTTGGTTTTTGTTTTGTTTTGGTGGTACTGGGGATTGAACCAGGGTCTTTGTACTGAGCTACATACCCAGCCCCCCTCTTCCTTCTTTTTGGGACCAGAGATCTAACTTGGGACCTTGCACTTGCGAGGCAGGTGGAGGTGCCACTAAGCTAAATCCCCAGCCCAATTTTTAAAAATGTTGTGACAGTCTCTGAAATCACTAAATTGCCCACCCAGGGCAGCAGTTTACAATCATCCTGCCTCAACTGTCCAGAATGCTGGGGTTACAGGTGTGCATGACCATTCCTGGCTTGTGTTCCACTTTTTGTTAATATCAGCACTGGCAAATTTTAGGAACACCGGTGCAACTTGATTTTTAAAGACAAACATTTCCTAAAGGGAACTTATTAAGTACAGTATGATTTATTAAAAGCACTGAGCCTATATAATCATTCTTTTAAAATATACTAGGCATCATACACAATGACTTTGTGTCACTGCATTGCTCTAGTTCAGAAAACGATTTTTGTATATATTTATGTAGATAGCCTATAATTAGAATTTCAATCTATGGTTCTGTTTCTGAAGTAAGAGCTAAGGCATTTCATCAAAGAGTTACAAATCTATCTAACCAAATATACTTTTCCAGTTCTGCTAAAATCACATTGTTATTTATCCATCTTAAGAGGTTACACTTCAATTTACATCAATTTAAAATTAGTTACAGGTTTGAAAACCTGGCAGGGATCTAAACCACCTTTATGTTTCTTTTTTTTTAGGCAGGGTCTCACTATGTAGTTGACCTGGACCTCACTATGTAGCCCAGGCTGGTCTCGAACTCACAGTGATCCTCCTCGTGTGCCACCACACCTGGCTTCTAAACCACCTTTAAAACCATAGTGAAGTTGGGCCAGGATTTAGCTCAGTGACTCCCCTGCCTGCTTCACAAGCACAAGGTCCCTGGTACCAACAAACCAACAAACTAACCCATGGTCAATCCAGTTGTGGCAGTGCATCCCTGTCATTCCAGCACTGGGGAAGATGAGGCAGGAGGATCACTGTGGGTTTGAGGCCAGCCTGGGCTACATAGTGAACTCAAGGCCAATGAACTACATGTGAGACCCTGTCTCAAAAAACCAAAACCAAGTGCTACCACCTGCCTCGAAAGTGGAAGGTAGAGTTCTATCCCCAGTACCAAAAAACAAAACAAAATGAAACAAAATCCCCAAACCAAATCCAAATTAAAACAAAACCATACCCACACTGACCATATAAAGTAGTTTTGTTTGTTTGTTTTAGTGGGGCACGGTGGGGTATACCTGTAATCTCACTTGGGAGGCTGAAGCAAGAGGATCGCCATGAGATCAAGGCCAGTGTGAGCTACACAGTGGTTCAAGGCCAGCCTGAACTATATAGCAAGACCTCGTCTTTTTAAAAAAAAGTTTTTTTTTTTGTTTTTTGTTTTTTTTTTGAGACATACTCTCAGCTATGTAACTCGGGCTAGCCTTAAAAAACACTATATATACCAGGTTGGCCTCAAACTCACTGTGATCCTCCTGCTTCAGCCTTCTGAGTGCTGAGTTACAGGTATGTGCTACCAAGACAGGCTAGATATTTTTAAAATAGTCACTAAAACTACATGAGTAACATACCCAAACTTTAAAAAATACAATTAAATTCATTTATATGAATATGGTGTTTATATCATTCTGGAATTTTACATATTTCTCTTTTAACAAAAAGTGGTGAGGGCTGGGGATGTAGCTCAGTGGCACCACACCTGCAAGGTCCTGAGTTCCCAGTACCAGGAAAGAAAGAAAGAAAGAAAGAAAGAAAGAAAGAAAGAAAGAAAGAAAGAAAGAAAGAAAGAAAGAAAGAAAGAAAGAAAGAAAGAAAAACGGTAATAACAATTCATATTTTGTAATCTGCTTTTCCCAGTGAATTTTTTATGCCAAGTACACATATTTTAATGGCTGCATGTATTTCAACCAATACAAGAAGCCGAGTTTAGTTTGTAACTTTTTAAGGAAGGCATTTTAAAGCATTTCATGATAAAATATAGATCTCATGGTTAAAGTGGGAGTTGTGGTCTCCTCAGGGACCCCTGACCTAGTGCTAGGGGACCTTAGTGTCATTCATTAAGGACCAGTGCACTTAAACTGATGCAATGATTTAAAAAATAATGGGTCAGCCCTGTGTGGTGGCACACGCCTTTAATCCCAGCACTCGGGAGGCTGAGACAAGGAGGATCACTGAGTTCGAGACCAACCTGGGCTACACAGTGAGTTCCAGGTCAGTCTGAACTACATAGTGAGACCCTTTCTCAAAACAACATCAAAAAATAAAAAAAATAAAAAAATAAATAAAAAATAATGGGTCCAAATATTTTAAAACTCAAAGTCTCCTTTTCCAACTCCTTGTTTTCCTTACTCAGTCCTGAACCTTTTTTGGGGGAAAGAGGCTTCACCCCAAATGATTTCTGGTGTCCTCTTGGCCCTGTAGAATGGGCTTCACAGACCAAAATGACAATAAAGTTTCCATGTCCCTGTCCCTGTTTCTCTCATTTTTGGTCAGGGGTTTTGAAAGGTTTCGCGGGTCCTCAGGGGACCCCAAGAACAAACCGTCAGAATTTGTTGTTTAACCTAACAAAAATTCTTTGAGGAGCCTCCCCAAAACCTCTACACAGTAAAGTAGGGAGACCACACACCAAAAATTTGGCCAATTTGAGAATCCAATCTGTTACCCCTTCAGTCCAGGAAAAGAAACTATTTCCACAAGAAAGTACAGGGGAGGGGCTCTTTTTACCACAGACTTTGACAGTTTTCCGGCTAGGGGAATCACAGGAAAGTGAGGTTTAGTCGTTTTGCCTCATTCTCAAATTTCTTAATGTTTGAAAGAGAAATATTTCCTCAGAGTTTTCCCGCCGGGAAGAGGCGAGTTCGACTCGGCTCGGCTCCGCGTGCTCCTGCTCTCGAGCCAGCCCCGGCCTTCAAGAAAGTTTCAGAATCTTCCCAGGAGCCCCAGCGGGAGGGAGCCACGCCCCCTCATAAATAGTAAAGACCCAGCTCTGTGGTACCCTCCCCGGGATAATTTAGGGCCCCCCAAGAGCCCTAGCGGGGCGGGGAGGCCACGCCCCTTCATGAATAATAATAACCTCTGTGCTGTGGAGTCCTTGAATACTTGAGCGCTCTCCCAGGAGCCCCGGTGGAAGGAAGGCTCCGCCCCGTCATGAATAATAAACACCGGCTCTGTGGTGCCCCTTTCCTTCTGGGCTAATTTAGAAGACCCCCCCCAGGGAACCCCAGCGGGATGGCGGCGCCGCCCTTTAAATCTGGGCTCTGTGTGGCCCTCAAAGGTAATTTAGAGCCCTCCCAGGAGACCCCGCGGGAAGGAGGCCCCGCCCCCTCATGAATATTAACGCAGGCTCACGTAGTGCCCTCCTTCTTATGAATAGTCAACCGCGGGCCCAGGCCACAGGCACCCTTAACGCCCAGTCGAAAGGAAGGGGTTGGACGGTCACCGTCTCTCGGGGAGGGCAGGGTGCGAACCAGAGCTCGTACCTCTCGGAGCCTCGCCTCTGTTCCATTTCCTTTTTCTTCCAGTTGTGAGCCAATTTTTTATTCCCTCTACCCCTACCCCAACAGGGTGAGCTGAAAGAGCTTTCAAGAAAACCCTTGTTGGAAAAAACTTCCAAACTTTTAAAACACCTCTGTCTGCCTAGGACCACGGGAACTCCCAAGCCTCTCAGGGTGGAGTCCAAGGCCAGTCTTCCAGGCTTGGGCCTCCTCTCTGGGGGATGAGTTCTCCCTCGTTTAGGCCCGGCTGGGTGATATCTGAGAAGACTGCCTTGGGCCCGGCCTGGTTTCTCGCCTTCATTCTCTGCACGTGGCGGGACAGAAAAACAGCTGTGTGGAGGGGCGACCTCAGGCTCTGCAGGGCCCTCTGGGGAGGCGACATCTAGTGGCACTGGAGGGGTAGAGCCCTGCAGAAGGACAGAGAGAAACCGCAGGGGGGATTCTCCTTTTGTTTGCGGTTTTGTGAACACCTGTACCTTTACTGTAACAAAGCAGCGTGTGCACTTTTAACATTTTAACCTCAGCGTCCCTTTCTCCTCCTGAGGGCAAATAAAAAAGAATTTTTGTGCGAGTGTTGGCCAGAGATGTGTATGAGACGCGTATGCAGAGATAAAGGACTTTGGGGGCTACAGACCCCAAACCTCCCAGAATTTGTGGTTAGAGATGAAAACATATGGGCCGGGGATTTAGCTCGGTGGTAGTTCTGCTACCTGCCTCACAAGCACAAGGTCCCGAGTTTGATCCCCAGTACCAAAAAAAAAAAAAAGATTTAAAGATAGCCTACAGGGCCACAAGTCCACCCAGGACCAGATTGCATCGCCATGAGGAAGGAATGCTCTGGCTCCTGTCCTCCCCACACTGATTTATCGCTCAGATTGACACTGATTTATCGCTCAGGTCGGTCACCTAGCGGGCCACCCTGACCTTCCTCTCATGAATTCCTACTCAGAATTTCCTTCTCTTGTCCTCTATTCTTTTTTTTTTTTGGTACCAGGGATCGAACTCAGGCCCTTGCACTTGCAAGGCAGGCGCCTGAACCACTGAGCTAAATTCCTGGCCCATCTTGTCCTTTATTTGAGGTTCTTGATTCTGTCCATAAAAAGCCACATAAGCTTCGCTTTGGGGCAGGTTTTTTTTTTTTTTTTCCTGAGACTTTCATACTGAGGGTTCTCGACTGAGGAAGCCCCTGTGGACCCTCTGGGAGGTTAAACTGGACAAGGACTCCAAGTAAGCCCTCGTCCTTTGTGCCATGCCACAGCTGTGAACTGACAGGATTTTAAAATAAACGAACAAGATTACAATTGATAATATCCATTCTAAGTAAGATCCTATAGGTTCTGCTGATTCTCCTATCAAGTGGCAGGGATCACGGCGTCACTAGGAGAGAATTTTTTTTAAAGTGTCATCTTGAACTGCAAGGATATCCTTTAACACCACAATTAGGCACCAAAGGAGAAGCTACGCCGTCAATTCATTCAACTCACCTTTTTCTGACTTTCTATAACCCCACTTTTTTTTTTTTTTTTTTTTTGAGACAGCTTCTTGCTCTGTAGTTCAGGCAGGGCTTGAACTCACTTTGTAGCCCCAATGGTGATCCTCCTGCCTCAGCCTCCTAAGTGCTGAGGCATGTGCTACCACCCTGGCTATAACCCAATTTAAATCTTTTTTTTTTCTTTTATTAAACAAGAGAAAGTCATCAGGTACATGTTGGTAAATGCCGTCTATAGACACAGTGTGATCTCTGGGCCCAACACACAGAGAAAGGAGGAAAAAATTCAAATAATTCTTTGCACTACTACACAGGGGCTGAGTACCCTCCAGCTTCCCGCAGGGTGAAGAGAGCAGAAGTGTTTTCTTTTCCCCCACAGAGCGCGAATGGTGTTGAGTTCGAACACTTTGTGTTGAGACAAAAAGGGATAAGATGACTTTAGGACGGAAGGTGGTAGAGATTCTTCTCCCACTGTATTCTGCTTGAGGTTTCTTCCCACAAACTATGTTGAGAACCATGGTGTCTGAGAAAAGAGAGCTCAGGAAGAGGGAGACTGAGCACAAGAGGGGGGAAAAAGACTGCAACTTGCTCTCAGGGCTGGGGAAGTTTTAAAAAAAAAGAAAGAAGATTGGAATCCGTCAGCATTCAGCGAAACACCTCCTCCTTCCTCTCATCTTCATCTTCACCTTCACGCTCACCCTCGTCCCCTTTGTGGAGATCTTCCGACCCTCCCCCTCCCC